GCGGTCGTAGAGCCTCCGAGGGCATGGATGAGGTACTCACGGACGGCCTGCTCTGAGATTCCCAGCTGCGCCGCGAGCGTGGCAATGGGGATCGAGTCCTGGGCTTCGCGGAAGGATGGCTACCCTTCCCGTGCCCCGAAGCCTGAGACGTAGACGGTGTTGGAGTCCTCTGGGCCGTAGGTCTCCTCGAAGGCATGGTGTCCCGCGTCCCACGTCACGCCAGCCGAGCTGCACCTCCGATGTCCAGGGGTTCTCACCCCGATGCTCTCGCCGCCACCGTCGGGCGCCCGGTTCCCACTGCGACAACACCAAGGTCGCAATGGGCGGCATGAGCACGGGCCCGAAAAGAAAAACTCCCTGGACCCACACTTGAGCCAAAATGGCATACAAGTGTAGGTCCTAACTTACCTAACACTTACATGTTTCAAATCCCAAGGAGTCCCTTCCCAACCAGACCATTCACCTTGGAAGATAATTGTAGTGTGGTCGGCCCACCTCCAGGCCTAACAGCTCATGTTGTGAAAGGTTTCTCCAGAATCGAATGCTGGGAGCGAGGCATGTGACAATAGTGGCAGCCACCTCTGCAGGCCTTGGCTACAGAACAGAGCCTAGTGACGCCATCAGTGATATCATCATCAGCGACACCACGTGGCACACCATGTGGCACACCATGTGGCACACCATGCCGCATCTACCCAAGGTGTTGAAGTCTGAAATGGTTTTCCTGGATGAGAGGCTTTCCCAGAACCTGCTGGCCTTCACACCATCGAGTGACACCATCTAAGTGACAAAAGGTGCCGAGTGGATCGGGGCGGTGCAAATCACGTCATCTGTCTCTCTCGAACATTTCGCCGCAAAAGCCTTTGGGCACCACACTTGAAGTACAAAGTACGACGTGGTCCGGCCTCCCGTAAACCGCACTGAAGCACAGCTCCCAGTCCACAGTACGTGATGCCAACACAATGTGCAATTTCATCTCACCTTGGCCATCTGCAAGCGCACACCTGGCAGGCCCAGTGTTTGCGTCACCTAGGTGGGCCAAGGCTGGCTCAGTGTTGCTCATTGCACGGAGTGAGGACATCCAACAGTATGCTCCCTGGAAAGCAGCTGCAGCTGAGACCTTTTTTTGAACGGACAATCAATATCTATGCTCATCAACACTCTTCGTCCAAACCACCACTTTCAGCAAAGCCACCCAAGATGTTGAATCAAAAAAAGCTCACCTCGCCACCCTTTACCTGGAGAGCGGCACAAAGCGGGAATTGTCAAGCTAAGCATCTGTCCGTTTCTATCAGGAAAAGTGCGAGGTGCAAACAAACATGACCACAGCGTCACGCAGCAAAGCAGAGCACAATTTGATCAATCATGATCAATCCACATCCAGTCCTAATAGCTCCTACTAGCTCTCAGCCTGCCCCCCCCCACCTGCTCCATGAGGGTGGTGGGCAAATTCCGCTCGCCAAAAGTCAGGGACAAATGCTCGCATTCCAAGCGACGGACCTGGCCCAGTCGATCCTTGACCTACCGCTTACATCCTCAAATTGATAATTCTCTGATACGATCGTGGGATATCTAACCTGTAAGCTTGCAGCCGACATCAATCCTGTTTGGAACTGTGGATGCCATGGCTACCCAACTCTTTAGCTCCCTCCAAAACAGCAGCTACAGTATATATATATATAACTTATATAACCACGACTGGATCATCCACACCATCCAAACCCACTGACCTCCGCCCCAGCGCCAAAGGCCGTGATCACATCTACAGGCTCCGAGACCGAGAGCAAAGGGTTCTCGGAGGCCTAGAAGCGCAAATAGACAAGAGCTGAAAACCACGACTTGAGCAAGGTTAAGGTCAGGCATCCGAATCTTTAAGCAAAATGCTATGGAACAGGTGCCATGATACAGGGAAACGACAATGTCATGCCTTAGTCCCCCATGTATTTCTGATTTCATGGTTTGGGGTAGGACTTTGTCAGTCGCCTGTAGGCGCCTTGATATGACGCAATCAACATTGATCAACAAAATGGCCGGTTGCCTTCTCAGGTTCTTTGACCTCCATTCCATCAGGTGTGAAGTCAGGCTGCAAAGTGGAGCTCACCAGCTCCTGGAACCTGGCATCCAAAAGCTGTAGACCACTTGCTCGTGCTTTGTTTCTAATATCATGTAGAAATGGTTGAGCATTCCGTGAGAGCTTAACTGTTGTTCCCTGATTTGCTAGCATCAGGTCAGATATGCACGGTGAAGATCGGCAATATGTGCGCGCGCGGAGTGTGCATGTGTCTGTGGACGTGCCAAGCAGCCGGCCTCTGGCTCCGAAGGTCCACTCGTTTCCTGAAAAAGGCGAGCGGACGACCTGGTTGGAACCAAAACCGACGCACTGCCATCAATTCTGAATAGAGAGCAGCTAAGTGGTTTCATGATTCGCCTGTAGCATCCTATAGCCCTGTAGCTATTCCATTACGTTTACAAGCTTACACTGCAGTGATTGCCCTTTGGAGGAGCTTTCTCCAAAGAAATGCACATGAGCCGTTGCATTGATTTATATATTCGTTTGCTCCATGGCTTCTTCCGCAATCAGTGGATGGAAGCGACAAACCCCCGAGCATCTTAAGATCTTGACTGATTTGCTTTCTAGGACTCCGTCCGTCCGTCTGAAATCTGTAGTTTCAAACAATTCACACAAATTTGTTCCCATGAATGTCATGTGTAAAAATTGTTGAACACTAACAATGCAATTTAGGCGCCCCAACATCAAGCCCCACCGGGCAAAGCAATTCAAAAGGGCTTTTGGTCTCTCGAAGGTGATCTCCCTTGACCGCAGCTCCCTTCTCTGACACTTGGACCCAGAAGTGAACAAAGACCCGCAACAGTAAGAATTGAGAACAACTTATCATGCCTTATGTTACACCTATTCAGCCGATTCAAGTGTTTACACGGGATCCAGGTCCGCTTTGGCCATTTATATATCCTAGAATGAGCCCGACATATGCCAAGATGCTGCGGGTTCTTGGTGACACAGGCAATCGGCAGCATGACATATCGAGAGTTGATCTGACCTGAAGGTAAACTTGACAGGCGCATGTACCAAGTGTCATGGGCTGCCACGAAATAAACCTGCTTGTGTCCAAAACTCTCTCTTTAAACAGCTGGTCCCCAATAGAATGCCGACCTATGCGGCGACGGTGCATGTATGTATTAATTAGACATGTAGTGTAGTGTCCTTGTCCCATGCCCGAGCACAAAAAGCCTTTAAACATCCTCTGTGAAACAAGCCATGCACTCTCACATTTTGAGGGTACAGTTTGAGTTTGTCGGTGCAGCCAGCTGCCTGATCTAACTTCCACCGCCATTAAACCAGCGGTGGTCAAATGCGGATCCAGTCCTGCTCAACCAGCACTTGTGAGCCTGAATGGCTGAGCCCCAAGCCAACTGTGATGGCAGTGTAGCCCGCCATGGCTGCATGCACTGCATTATGGCTGAGCATGGAGCAGTAGACACCTTAAGGGCCGAATGCAAGGATCTGACTTGTCCAGGACTTGTGGTACTCTGCCACCTGTGAGGGTGCCTGGAGCATGTTTGGAAGTATAGTCGGTCCATGCTCTGGCTATCTGTTCTCAGTTCCTGGCTCTTTGGCAGTTGGCCATTCACTGCTGAGGTGATTGTACCCACTCAGTGGTTTCGCAACATTGCGTCCATGTTCACTACCTTGTCTTTGTTCGAGAAGGATGTTGCTTTGACAACAGCATCGTTCTCATGACACGGTTGTGGCTTCCATAGCAGCGACACCAGTTTCATGGCATGTTCGAACAAAATGTCCTCCTTCTGCCGCCGTTGCATTCTGCTTTTTGTTGCAGTTGGTTAGCTTTTTGTTGAAGAAAAATCGTTCCGGATCACCCTATCATTCGTAGAGTGATTTTGGAGTCTTAACAGTAACAGGCATGCATAGGCAACATTGGTGAACCAGTGCGGGCCTGCTCTTTTAACCAAAACCGAACTAAAAGAACGCATGGGAAAATACATAGCACCGTTCGGATTGCAAACGCCGCAAAGAATAATTAACACGTGGTCCAAGCAAAGAAAAGTCAGGAAGCGCAAGCCACCTTAAAATGCGCTTGCATTTCAAACCATGGGCAATCAATAATCATGCATCAAGGGCTCTTGTATCTCGATTGGCAATCCCAATGCTAACCAAGCGGCTGTCATTGGCATTGGGTTTAATGGCTCGGATCATGTAGGTGGGGTCGATGTATTTCACCTTGGTGAAAGGCTCTGAGACCCAACAGAATATGACATGTGCATACATAGGTACATCATGGTACACAATAGCTAGAGACATTACGGCATGACCTGTATATCAATACGTTACACAACTTTTGCACACGACTTCTGATCTTTGATAATTTTGTGGCTGTGAGCCAGGTGCTGATGGAAACGCATGAGGATCAACAAAACGTCCATTTGCCACTGGACGGGCGGGTGCATAAGTGCGGTCGAGCAACTGTCAAAGGCAACTTGACCTACCACAAACAATGTCCGATTACGGTCTGTAATATCAAAAACAATCAAGTTACAATATCCTATCAGGCTCACCAATCAATGCCATTCAATGCCAATGTATTGTGCCCTCGCTCTCTCTCCGGCTTAGCGGCTTGGCCTGGCGATCGCGGTGTCTCACAAAAATGCCCGCGTCGCGTGCTCTCTCTCTCTCTCTCTCTCGCTCCCTCTCTCTACCTGTCTCCCTCGCTCAATGTCTCAGTCTCTTGTTGTGGAAGAGCGTTCTTCTCCCAGCCCCCACCTGCTTGAATCTCTCAACAATCTTGTCCCGCAACCATGGGCCCACGTCCGCCAGCTTCTTGTTTCCGCCACCTCAAGCTCAAAGCTCTGCTGCAAGAGTCAGCCAGCACTACTGGAAAGCTTTTTGACCTCACAAAATTACCTATGACATCCTATGACCCATGACTGCTTCCGTGCTCTCACCAAAAGCCAAACTCTGGCAGGTCCTCAGTCAGTGATTGACGCCAACTTCGCTCAGCTGAGTCTAAGCATCAACCAAACACGTATCACCACGGTCTCATGATCCGATACTTGTTTTTCTATCTGTTCCTTGCTGCAGGCCTTGCGCAATGCGACCCTTGAGATCACATCTACAGGCATCAGCTGCTCCACAACAGGCTTCAAGTCTTCTGGCCACGGCAGCCTTGCCTCCAGCGGCTCCTCCCTGTCTAAACGGATTCCGCTTGAATGGAGACAAACCCTTGGGGCGCCACCTGATGCTGGTGGATCACCGCCGTAATCGACATCGCCTAGCAACGGATGGCCATCATCTGACAAATGTGCACGGATCTGGTGCTGGCGCCCAGTGTGCAACTCCAAGGTTACAAGACTCAAGAATCGCCGAGGACCTTGAAAGTGTGATATCTCCTCTAAGCAAGTTGCACTCGCCTTGCCAGGGCCATCAGTGACCCGGGTCCGCTGCACAGCAGAGCCGTCCGGCAGCTCTTGCAAAGGCAGGTCGATGATACGTGGAGAGCGTGGCATCAGGCCATGAGAGAGGCACATGTACTCCTTTCTCAGGCCCTTGCGGGTTGCGAGCTGAAGCCGGCCTTTGAAATAGCTGTGGTAGCTGCTTGCCCAAATGATCACTCCAGAGGTCATGCGATCCAAACGATGAAGTAAGCCATGGGAAACGGCTGGGTCAAGAGAGATTTTGTACTTGTTACCAAAACTCTTCATCAACCAACTTTGCAGTTCCTTCGCTTCCGGTTCCTGGTCTCCTTGATCTTTTCCTTTATCACCCTGACCCTCGGTGTCTCCTAAAGGCCCGCCTCCCAAGCCATGGAAGTCATCACGCCAAACATTCACGGACCACCCTGGTGGCTTCCACAGCGCACACAGACCTCCCCGCGACATCACAACTGCAGGCATGTCTCCCAAAGGCTCTTTCTGCAAAATGGGGCTTGGAGCTTCTTTCTCAGCATCTCCATCAAGGGCCAAAGCACGCACCTCCAAGGCCTGAGCTGCGACGTCATAAAGCTGATCGAAGATCACGTTGCCGCTACCTCCCATCTCTGAGGTGGCCGCAACTATGCTTTCCAAGTCGACCAACGATACTGCCGCTTCTTTGCTGGATATCTTATGGGCGGCTACTTCTGCCAGGATGTGCCACAAAGGACGGTCGGATGCAGCTGAGGTTGAAAAGCACCATGCGATGTTTGCCAATTCTTGCATCTTGAACTCCTGAGCCTGCTCCGCAAATGCCACTCCCAGGTCACCTAGAAGAGCCAACTCTGAGACCTTCAACCTCCCAAACCTTCAAGCAATGTTTGTCACATCCTAACATCCCAAATCTCCGAGACCTCGAGCACTCGCTGCAGCCAGAAAGGGCTTGGATAGAGGGGCACCAGCGGTGCCCAGGGACTGCAAAATGCTGGCCACGACCCGTGCGGAGAGCTCATCGATGCGGCACCTGGAGGTCTCAGCAATTGCGGCCATCAAAGGCAGGTTTGTAAAGGAAGCCTGACTGGATCCGGCGAGCAACACGACAGGTCGGTTTCAACGTCCACCACACACACTACATATGCAATAAACGTTGTGAGTTAAACATGTATATATATAACATTCGTCAAACCCAACTGGGTCTAGCTGCTCATGTCCAACAATGCCAATTGTGCCGAAACTTGCCCACATGTGATCCCGACTGTCATTAATTCATTCATTCATGCATTTTTTGTCTTTCTTGTTCTCTCTCCCTACTTCGCTCTCGCTATCGCTTTTGCTCTCACTCTTGCTCTCTCCTTGTCATCTTCATACTTGGAGCAAGGACACGCCAGGTGACAAATCAACAAAACCTACCTACATGTCCTACCAAGCCCCCACATGCCAATCTTTCTAGGTCGTTCTAGGACACTTATACACTTATGAAGTTGTTCGACAAGTATTCACTAACGGGCGAGCAGCTTTGGCTATTGCCCAAGCGAAGCTGCTTGTTTCCTGCGGCTCTCCCTGCAGAACTGTCTCACAAGAGTTGCTGAAAGCAAGCAACAGCTGTTCCTCTCGAAGTCCTAAATGTGCAAAGCTCTATGCTGCATTGGCCAAGCACTGTGAATCCAGGTGCCTTCGGTTTGCGAAGGAAGCTACTTGTGCAGCTATACATCTCATCAACAATTGGCTACCAGTGTCTAGCTTGCCGATTTCCCGAGCAGTGTTTGCTAACTCTTGCGCAGCAAATTCGTAACAGAATTGCTGTGCCAAATGCCCAAGCGTTTCCAACAAAACTGCACTTGAACCCATGACTTTGCCAAAGGATTACGCCAGATTTGCCACACCCTGGGGCGTCAACTCTGAAGCCCTTGGGACAAGCTCCTGACCAAGCACTTCCAAAAAAGGCCAGCTTCTGTGCTGCGTAGTGCCACATGCCCGAGCCAGGTTGCAAAGATTCCGCGCACTGAAGTCAAGGGACATCGCCCGATGCGTCAGGGCACTCGTCAGCAGTTCGTTGCGAATCTGAAGCTTGGCGAGGCCTCGGATAGTGGAAGGCAACCTTGGGACATGAGCTGAATCCCGGGTCTTCAGTGATCAGCCGAAGTTCAACAATAACAGGGACAAACAGAATGTTGAATAAGAGATTTCAAAGCCTGGCCTCACATAATGCCAGCCACATCTTGTGAAGCGAAGGCATTCCTTTTGCGCAAGAGCTTCTCTTGGATAACCCGCGCTGCATCTTCCCATAAAGAGCGATCACTTACACGCAAAGTTCCAAATCATCACGCCATGTAGGAAAGCTTCTGCGGTGGGAACTCTCCTAGCTTCTATCTGGCAACCGTCACAAGAGAATCCAGGATGGCCTGCAGGAGCTGTCTTCTTCCATGTATGTCACAGATGTAGCGAGGCATGGCGAGGCGACATGAGACGTCTATTCATCATCTACCTCTTTTCGAATGTCCTTGACTGATCCATGCCAACTGCAAACTACATCCAGTTTCTTGCAACTCTCGCCTGGTCCCTCTCCTTCAACTTCCCGAACGTCTGCGCGAAGTGTGCAATCGCCTGCGGCGTGGTATCCCTACTACTTTCTCGCTTGCTCCATTGATCCTTGAGTTGCGGCAAATCGCTCCTCAGCACCTTGCGTGCCACCACAGAGCTCCAAACTGCCCACGGTAACGGCCACAACGGCCAGCTCTCACCTCTCTCACCTGCGAAGCAGCTTGGTGCCCGTACAGGTCTGCAGGACTAGTGGCTCACGTGGCTTGCCTGACATGGCGGTGCAGTCTGCATCTTTGGAGAACCTTCCCCTGCACACAGGCGTCTTCGTGACAAACTGCACTTCACAACCTTTGGCAAGCGGTTGCTAGACTTGTTGAATCGCGAGCTATGTATAATGAATGTCGCACACATGGTTCGTGAGTAGCTTCTGAGCCAGTGGCTACAGGAAATTACTGCTGCGCTGATGCTTAGCGCATTGAAGCCCCCAAGCTGTATGCAGCATGGTCTATGAACTGAACAGCCAAGAACCAGGCCTCCCTTTGTGACCCTGAAACTGGGCTTGAGGTGCGTTATCCGAACAAAACTGTACCCGGCTCTGACGATGCAGCAGCCAGGCCACCATCAACCTCCCCAGAGCTCTGCAGCAAGGTATCGCCACAACCCTCAGCAACCACGACCAGGCAATGACCCTTGGACCTCGGAATGGTGCTGTGGCAGTGGCCCTTGCACGGGTAGCATCTCGTTGAAGAGTCGGGTTCCACAGCCATATCTGCCTAGCTGCTTTCAATGAATGTGCCATGGTTAGAGGAGGCCCCGCCAGCTCCGACCAGAACCACGTTCGATTCACTGCCGTGACAGCCATGACAATGTTCATGTCAGTCAAAGTCAAAGACGAAAACCCCTCATCGTACCAGTAGCACTTCTGTATACTTCTGTTGGCTCAATAGAATGTCGATCTCTCTATATACAAAAAAGCATATATATATATAAAGTAACAAAAATAAAAACATATGAAACATGAAAATCATCAAACGTATCATGATGTGTCATGACTAGTCAAGGCCGCGCGACTGCATGAGGTCCAGGATGTGCAAAAGCACCTTCTCGAGGCCTCAGTGGCGACAAACTACCCAAACATACCCAGACAGAACAGCGTAATTTGCTTACGTGTTGTACTGAAGCACTTCCTCCCGGAGAACCAAAACCTCTCAAGTGAAAGCATGTGAAAGCTAACATCGTGATGATGATAAATCAGAATGAACCAACAAGTCTACTTGCATCCGGAGGCTGATAGTCATCTCTGGCAGGAGCACAATATCCGCATGCCGCGCTGCCAGTCCAGCATGAAGTGCGATGAAGCCAGAGTGGCGGCCCATCCTGGCAATGATTCTAATGATGCTCGGTTACTGCATCACCGGTATTGATACTATCTGAATGTGCACAGACACATGAACATTTTGGGGAGTGTCATTGTCACCTTTTCTGAATGTGTGATTCATCACAGTGGCCATTTGAGGCTCTGGCAGCTTCACCAGGCCAATGCAGTTGGCATTGCAGGTGGCTTCCACATAGCCAGCCTTGGGAGCTAAGCACTTTACAATAAGCTCATAATAGAATGTCCGGTGTCACGAGAACAAACGAAGGTCGAATGTATGCAATCATTCAAGTCCCAAATCTACCTAAAAGCGAGGATACTGTTGACATCCTCGTCAGGGTCCAACAAGCCAAATCAAGGCGTCCTTAACGTGTAATGAGCCAACGCACCTTGATTGCATGCTCCGCCTCCATACACGCCGTATCGAAGCCTAGAAGGCTTGAGATTGAAATCGAGTGAACTTCGCGGCGACTCTAAGACGTCAAGTAATTGCAAATAAACGGTGTATGTTTACAACTAGCCTCTTGTTCCTAGTAGTAAGGCCAGGAGCCCCTGGTAGCTTCTTGCTCCTATGCCAACATTGACCCCACACAGTCTGCAAGAATTGCTGTTGTAGGTTCCCGATGGTTCACATTATTGGCAACACGAGAAAGCATTGGAATGACAGCAAGAGACGAACAGCAGAGGACAAATGATGCATGCAAACACGTGATGATGCATGTCCAAGCATGGACAAAGACGTGTTCCATTGCCTTTTGTTGCCTTTACGTCGCTGCATGCCTTCTATGCATGGAAAGCATTGCAAAGCTCATGGCCTGCTGGGCAGGCATCATGGACAGGTGCGGACACAAAAGAATAACACCCCAAACAGCACAAGTGGACAACAGAAGGGACAGAGAGAACCCTCACAGTAAACTGTTTGAACCATCAACTGAATAAGCCCAATCATTGTTGTTGACGTTGCGCCAAGCAGTGTAGGCAGGCACAAAAGGATGGACCTATGTGAAACTTGGCCTTGGCATTGGACGCTCAAGGTGATTGGCTCATTTGAGGCCCTCACCGAAGGTACAATCCAGCATTGGGATGTCATTGTCGATGGTCTTCGGGATGCCAACGACCTGACTCGCATGTCACATGATCCACAAATGTCACATTCATCTGGCTTTCTCAACTCGCGAACAGCCTCCCCACCGATTTAGACCCAAAAGAATGTATCAACATGTCATTGCCCCTCCAGTGTCCAGCTCGAACCCACCCAAAAGCTTCTATGTTGCAGCCAGGCCACAGAGCAATCCCATTTCTTCTGCTTCATCAGTTCTGCGATATCATAAGCACCACGGTGTGTTCCATCACCACCGATGATGAAATGTGCGCCTGGAGGCCCAATGAGCTACAGTAAGTGCAAGTATTGTTGTGTGCATGGCTGCTGGCCCAAAGCACCATCGTGCAATCTCTGAGTTTTGCAGCTTTTGTGAAACAATGTGAAACACGCACCGAGTAAGGTCTCGACGTACACCCATATCCATCAAAACTTGCACTTGCTCCTGCCACTGCGGGAGCAGTCACGGGCTAAGTATGCTAGTTAGTAAACTGGCGGTCTGCTCCTCCTCTGTTGGATTGCCACGGTCACTGACGAGGATTGTCCTAAGCACGCTCACATGACACATTGCGGACACATTCTTGATTTCATCTACTCATCCACAGTCACCTGAAAATCTTTTGAAAATGATTGAACATCTCTAATAGGTTCAAGCAACTCATGAGCGGAACCCAAACGGATTCCACCGAGCCCCTGCAATATTTGTTGTCCATTTGTTAGACATGTCCGCCATGTCCCAAGGCTTGAGGCGTCGACCCACCCATTTTGTTGATGTCCTGGACTGAGACTAGTTGAAACGCGTGAGCTCAAGAAACTCCATGCACAATAGGTAAACACAGCGTACGATTCGAAATAAAAACAGGAAGGCACCCTTGAACTTGGACTGTCGGGGCACAATGCCCAGCAGTCTCCGATTCGTGCAGTGCCAGTGTCGGTGAAGATTATTGCCTTTATCACCATCAACGAGACCATTCGATACTTGAAGAATACTGAATTTGCGCGTGCTTGCTGGAAAGAAATGTATGAGCAAGATCGAGCAAAACAATTTGACGGCTCAATCTTTGGTGACTCAATTTTCGCAAGCCTGCCTGATTCTTGGTATCAAATGGGATGACATTTGGTCTTGCGATGTGTTTTTTGAGATTTGCCAGTTCTGATCCTTGATGCATAATTACTCAAGAGTCTGGTTGCGCACGGCTGCTATGTTACTGCTGGGCAAACACCCCGTAAAGATGTTCGCCTCCAATGTGGCTTTTTGGACATCACGCTCAAATTGTCCGCAAAACATTCATGTGCCATGAAGCCCAAATCACGATGTTTCAATTGCATTTCAGCTGCAATTACAGGTTACACAATGACAGCGGACAGACTGATGGCTGCCGGCATTCAGGAGTCCTCTGATTGCCGCTTCTGAGGCAAGTAAGGAATCTGTGCAACCCTTTCTATTTGAACCGAATTTGTGCTGTCTTGGAAATTACGTAAATTTGTGGAAATTCCCTTCGCGGTTTCTGCAAAACTCCGCGATTCCAGTACGTCGAACTTACATGTTCTGGATTGGAATTCTCATGCGCAAGGTGTATTTCATCAATGGGATAGTGATGCTTCCAAAAATGCTTGGAGCTTCAGGTGTTGATTCTGATCTTCCGCTTCTCACCATAAGGCCCTCACGGAACGCAACTTTTGCCGTTTCCTTTTGTTGTGCAACACGCTCAAGTGGCGTCTGGGAGAAGAGCTTGCATGTTAGTCTTTGAACTGGCTATCCTTGCCTTCCATCAACAAATTTGTGTTGACTTGGAGCCAAGTGTCATTGCTGCGCCTCATGCGTACGCAAAAAATCTCACGTGATGCCTTTGCGTGTTGCAAGCTCAAAAGGTGGTTGCTGCTCCTTTGCACTTGGAGTTCCGCAATGAAAACAATGGCAAGACCTTTCCGAAAGGTGCCTTCCATGTCGCTGAGGTCTTTTTGTGGAACGAAGTTTTTGAACTTGTTTGCTTTGCCTTCTGTAAGGGAGCCGAAGATACCTCCTTGTCTTGGACGATTCCTTTTGACCACCTGTGTTGAAAGCTATGCACCTGACCGTTGAAGCGCAAGCTCAGCAGTTGCCCCATCCAGAGAGAATAAGGTCCCTTAAAAACTATATTAAAGGCCCTTATCTGCTTTTCTTCTCTCCTCCTTATCCTCATTACCCTCAATAAGAACAGTGCAGAATCGCTACGCCACTACATGTTGTGTACAATTTAGAGTCCTTGCCGACTCGTGGGATGGATTTTGCAATTATACAAACATACCCAACAATCGACTATTGCGCCAGAGGGGACTAGGGACCTTTAGGGCTTTAGGCGCCTTGTCAATACAAACAAGCCTTTCTCTACTATCTCATCCCCTCTTACATCCTCTGCCTCCTTACTGCTAACTACTAGGCTGGCCTAGGGAAGGATCCCGGTATGTCACCATAACACGGCCCAGAACTGGGCAACCTGCCTGGACGCTCATCGGTGTTAGCTCCATCCAAGTCTCTGGCTTTACCACCTAATTGCAAGTTCGACTCGGAATCTATCGCAGTAGTCGAAACCCGTCGGACTAAACAGCACGAAAAGGGCAGCAACATGTCTAACGGCGATGTAAGGCCCGGGCTCCCTTATAGCCTCCACGGATCCCATAGACCTTCTGCACCTCTGCAGTTCTGCACACATTATGAACCATCTGGTTGGGATGGAACTTTATACAGTAATGGTCTTATAGAGCCTGTTGGTGTGTTCAACCCAGCTCACGGAGCATGACAAAACACCCTGAAGCAGTCCCACTACGAATTTGTTGGGCTTCGCTGAGCAGGGAAGGTAATACTGGAACGAGCACACCTCTCAGGCTGCGACACCATACTGTGAAAGCATCATGACCAATTCGCGGATCACCTAGGTGTGACAGCGCTTCTGCCTGGACATCCACAGGGGCCTTTCATGAT